TACAAAGCACGACGCTGATGTCATCAAGGACTTCCATGTAGCTCTATCTACCGAATTAAGGTCTACCCTAGAGGATATTAAGATCATGAATAGTCGATTTCCGAGTATGAACTATCTCTTAGTCGGTTATTCACAAACAGTAATGGTTACCTCAAAGGTATCCTGTTGAAAACCAGTGCCAAATAAAGTTCCAGGGGATACAGTCTGAAAGCTTTTATCATTCCTTTTATATGCAAATGACCCTTGATCCCTTATCATCACCAGTCCTGCCATGTTTTAGTTCTTTTGTTGTAAATGCTACTCACAAGATTGCCTATAAATAGTATTTTGCGGAATTTCGCGTGGAAGTTGTTGCAGTCGACAGCCTAATATAAGGGTTCAAGAAGTATTGCGTACGCATAATACATGGAGACCAGGACAAAGAAAATAAAATTGTGTTGAGTTGTGTGAAGTTACGCTTGTGATATATTACAGATGGTCAAGAGATATTATGCAAAGATTTCAAAACCATTTTGGAGATACTTAAAGAGCTTATCTAACTACATATCAAGACATTTCTGTCATGTGTATGTCTAGAAATCCAGAATTACTTATAAGAATCTAGCCCTACCAGTAAGCTTCTGAAAGAACTTCAAAGAACTGTAGTAAGTCCGTTACAGAAATCTCTATGATCTTAAATAATTATATTTTGACAAAGGTAAATCCACTCCCTTCCCATAGAATTTCGCTTCAAAACATGTTAAAATATTATTCTGCAGATATGTTCAGAAGAAACTGTTCAGTTGAGGGGCCATCACTACAACAAACTTTTCATGCCCAAACACTTTTAGTTTCATTTGAAAATAGAAGCATTTCTTGCGCTCTTACAAACTTATCAGTTTTGATAAAAGAATTTTCTATTCAAAGTTCATAAACTCAACATTAGTGTAACACATTTTACTATAGTGTTGATCTCCTTTTCAGTTCTCCCACTTCTTCATGGTTGGTCATTATCATCAGTCTTATTATGATCTATAGTTTACACGTTTTCAATGAACCTGTCAATTCGTTAGTCATTATTACAAAATAAATTCAGATATTTTATCACTGAAGATTCCTTACTATACGTAAATTTCATGCTTTTTTATCATTTCTGTTACCTTTAAGATTGAAGCACAGTCAAAAGAACTCGCTTATCTACTACTTAAAATATCGTATTAGCATAGAGTTTGGGGCTACTGCTGGTCCAAAGCCCAAATAAAAGAGAAGGGTTGAGCATGGGGTTAGCGACCCTTTCCCGTAGAAAACTATCTCGCTAAAAAGAACGCTAACCAGAAAAAATTAGCATAGAATGACCACCTCATTTTGTATTTATCAGTTCAACTGCTCCTGTGGAGCGAGTTATACTGGTCGAAGTTCTAGGAATTTACATTTTCGTGCTCGTGAACACCTTCCAGAGTGGCTCAATAAAGGTTTGATGAAGAAGGTGAACAGCTCAATATTGGCCCATTTAGTACAAACCGGTCATAGTGCCAGTATAAACCAATCTTTTTCAATTATTTATAAGGTGAGTAATTTTTTGCCAAAACTGGTCAGACTGAAAGTCCTTCAAACGGCTGAAGCAATAGCCATCCGGATGAAGAAACCGGAGCTTTGCGTACAGAAGAAATATATTCAACCACTCCTCCTCCCCTGGCCAACATCAAGGCCAATTAATCAATCGTAATCTTAACTATTGAATGAACTAATTTGACTATGACCCTTCGTAGTCACTTGTAACTGTCCCTGTTATCTTTATTCATAAATCTTTGTATTATTATTATTATTATTATTATTATTATTATTATTATTATTCGTATTATTGGTTAAACATCATTAATCTCCCCTATACATGATTCATTCACTTCGCATTCATCCCTCCGTATCACGTCTTACTTATTTGATCGAATTGTAATATTTCTCTCTCACCCTATTTGACCCATATTTTTTCTGATCATTGATCTTAAAATTTTACTTAACATATAGGCTGATTCAAGTTTACATTGTATATGAATCATATTAACATTAACAATTTTATTGTATTTTGTTTATCACAATCCTAAATTCACATGCTCTAAACGATGTACTCTGCCCTTAACCTGGCCATTTTTTCGGATTATTAATTTGGATATATCATTGTAGAACCTGATGAGAATTTATCGAAAAGAACATTCTTCGTTCAAATACTAGTCTTTTAATATGACGGGAATCTTTAAACGATTAAAATGTTGTGAACAACCCATTGCATCGATATATGTTACAGTCTAATATTGTTGGTATTGCTCAGAGAGTTACTAACTAGTTTGACATTAAGCGACAGTAGCTCTTTGCATGAACAATTGTAAAGCTGAAATTTCGAAATGGTTGCAACTAGTATGACATGTTATCGACTAGTAATTTCAAAAAAAGAAATAATTCATTACATTTGAATTATCAGTTTAATTGCTAACACAGCCGGTAGCATTACTGAAATTAAGTTGACTAGTTTATCAAGTATATTTAGTTGTGTTTAATGGTGGCTTACGAAACGAAGTGATTTCAGATGTAAAAACGTCCAATGTGTCTTGAACTAACGATGACATCTACAGGCTTTACTTCTAGATGTGAACATCAAAACTGTCTTTTTTCTTTTAACCTCTGCTATTCTAGATAGTAAATCATGTAAAGAAGAGTCTACATCCGATACATGAAAGGACAGACACATGGTGGATGTAGTGCTTGTATGAAATAATAATTCTTTGGTACTTGATGACTACCTGATTTCGAATTCCGAATACAATACGTTTGTTTGTGCTTATCTATTTCGTCTTGGTCTAAATTTCATTATTTTGGGGATTCCTAGTTCGTTTAATAATTCAAGTGCTTTTAATCATCACACATATTCACTCCCCTGAAAAACATCTCATCTATACTCATCGTTAAATTTACTTTATTCATTAGGAAATTACATGAACGGATAACAAAAACAAAAATATTCCATAGATTTTAGATTTTCAGTGATATTATTTTAACATATAAGCTGAATCTAAGTGACTTACAACTCACTTGAGAATCATAATTGTATGATTATAAAAATTAATAAGCATCCTGTGAAATAAAAATGTCTTTCGAGAACTCAGATTTGTCTACATTCCATATACATTTCATATACAACATTACATGTGCTAACTTGAAAAGAAAAACGATGGTTTGGGGAGAATAATGTACATTCGTTTTACTTTGTTATTAGCTTTTTATAGTCTGTAAATCTTCAATATCATAATCATTGAATGTTATTTAAGTCAGACATCCACTAAAATCCTTAAAACACTGGACAGCTGTTTTGTCCCAGTAGGGCACTCGTCAATATTGAACATACACTACCGGATTCTCAATAGAACCCAGGACCTTCATTCCCGAGGCGAACACCTGATCTCTAAACAAACAAGTCAGAGTCCTATTCCAAGATGAAACGGTTGTCTAGTACTTCCTAGTTTTAAGTGGACACCTAATTTAGGTTAGTTACTGATACAAATATCATTAAGTAACCTTCACAAACTCCTTATACTCATCAAAATTATTATTAAACTGTATTTATGGAATGGCTTATATAAGTAATTAATTTAGACACCATAGTGTTTTTGGAACTATTTTTATAGATGTTACAGAACGTTCTTTTAACATCAACTTTAACTGTGTTATCTTATTCAATCATCTAAGTTTTATCTTAATTTCATTAAACTTGACTACACTGTACTGACATATTTAAATTCACTTCTTATCAACGGGATTTTTATGAGTATGCTAAACATCATTGGTTTTCTTTATTATTATTGTCAAACAGGTTGTAAATAGTTTAAAGGAACTCAAATCAATGTTTTTACTCATTTCAAAATGAAATCAATATTAAATTAAGTATTAGATTTATTGTTGCTTATCTTCAAAAAATTCTATTAGGGTAAATGATTATCAGTTTTGAAAAGAGCAAGAACAAAGATTCTAGTAGGATAGCATGAACTCATTATATTTCGTAGGTTCTCGTCAGCTGCTTACAACCTGTGATATTTAAGAATCATAATTACATAATGGGTTTAAATCGCTTACATGAGAGGGTTTGTTTGGAACATGTTCCAAAAAGCCTTTGAACAAGGGAAAGAAAGACTCTGAAGAGTGCAATCACCAAATATCTCCTTGATACAGGACATCAGGGTAAGCAGCCAAACTCCAGTCCTCTGAAGTTTGCTGAAGCCGTTGCCATTAGGCATCAAAAACCTGACCTTTGTGTTCAAAAGGAGACGGTTGTTAATCTTTCCTTGCCTTGGTGACAAATATTCTTTCACTGCACCTTAATTGTTTTTTCTTTTTTCTTTTGTATTTATTACACCATTGATTTTATTTTTTCAACTATCTTTCAAATTAATAATCTTTCAACTGAACCCTACTCACTATATTCCTATCAATGTTTATTCATTATGTAATCAATTGTTTCTAACCCCCTTTTGAACTGTTGTCACACTTAATGTTGCAGAATGTTCTTTCATATTAGGTATATATTTACAATATTCAGTCTATTAGTTTCATTTACACCCATGATATTACATTACGAATATATCTTCAATATAACTTCTAAACAAACCCTCTCATGTAAACAATTTAAACCCATTATGTAATTATGATTTTTAAATATCACAGGCTGTAAGCAGCTGACGAGAACCTATGAAATATAATGAATTCATGCTATTCTGCTAGAATCTTTGTCTTTGCTCTTTTCAAAATGATAAATGGAACTATGTGTATGAGATTATCAGTTTGTTTGTTTTTTACACAGATTGATCTATGGAAGGTTACAGTTACTTTAAAAATGTAATATAAATATATAACCAATGTATGCATACCCTTGATTCTTTAACAGTTTTATTATTAATCCATTGAATATATGCTACGAAATATTGTACAGTATTTTTTCTTTAAAAATTGCATCTAATTCAATTTAATTGATTAATTCAATCAGAATAATCTTTGGTTGATGATACTCTAGTCATACTGAGTTCAAGTAATTGATTTGAATTATGATATGAATAGTTATGATGAAGATCTTGTAAGTAATAAGAATTTAATCCAGATAAAGAATTGTTCTGTTGTTCATGTAAACAATTTGGTTGTTGATTAATAAGATGTATATGTTTAGAATATGTTAATGGATTAAATGAGGTAAATTGTTCATCACAATGTAATTTATTATTATTTTCATTAAAATTAATAGAATAATGATCTGTTGGTAATAATTCATTATTGATTAGAGATTTATTGTATGAATCATTGTGTTCCTTTAATTTACATTCAATTAATTGATAATTATTATTTGTTTTAATAGTTTCTAGGTTATGATGTATTAAAATACTTGTATTATCTAATTTATATGAACATGGCTGAGTATCATATTTATCGGTTATCTCAAGATTATTGCTACATTTACAAGTATTATGTGCAACAGTTTTAGTATTATGATTAAGACATATTGTTGGATTTGTCTCCGTTAAATGAACTCCATCAATTGGGTTATGACATCGAGTTGGAAATCCTGATCTGAGGAATCCATTTGAAGTATTCATATCTCCATAATGTGTAGATGGATATAAATTTTCTGCCGGTTTTTGTCGTTTAAATTTCATACGACGATTTTGAAACCATACCTACAAATAACAGAATGCCATAAACTATAGTAGTTTATACAGTATCACTGATGGATTTTTAAATTACTAATAATAATTATAAATAAGATCATCTAGTGATAACATGATAATTACTTTCGGGTTACAACACTAAGCAGCTACCATAGAAACAGTCATAAGCTACAGAAACTAATTCTGAAATGATGAAGAAGCTTTTCATGGTGTTTTGTTCTCTGAGCTGAATGGTTTGGACCAAACCATCTGATACGTAACTTTTTTAAAACAGACAGAAAATGCTTTTTTTTACCATATTCATTACATATATATTGAAAATAGGTATGATTACTATAAAGCGCCTCCGGTAGGGTTTGCGTTCAAGATAATACTATATACTTTTAAAGATAAAACAAAAGATTAACAAACGCTGGAATTGTCAGTCAAAATGTCTTAAAGGTAAGAAGATTTTACATGATGAATTACAGCATATTAAACTACATTCGCTCTGTAGACAGATAAATCTCTTCCCACCAAATAGTAAACTTCATTATTTTATGTGAACACACTGTAATAGAAATCACCTGTAACTTTCATAAAGAGACTAGAATGTATTGTTTCGCTTAATCACTTTATTTGCAAATCTCTAAAAGATAAGAATTATTTCGTTCGTTTAGCACACTACTAGAAGAGCTGTACTACAATTGAGGGAGGACAACCGCAGAAAACTCTTGAGTTTCGAGAGGCGATCAACTTGCTTATAACTCCAACAAAAGTATATTAGGTAGATCGATTTTCTTCTTAGCGTGAGATCTCTCATATGGTGAAAATTATCTCTACAGTTAAGTAGTAACTACAAACATTTTAATAAATAGTATCATTATATTATCAATACATTTTAAACGACGAAATAATTTTAGCTGAACAAATGGAGTTTCATCCGTGTCGTGTGTGAGACCGTTATCAACTGTAGGCAAGGGATGAGGGATGTACAATATCTTGAATTGATGAAAGCTAGATACTAACAACGTTGTATCTCGACTGGGTGGTCTAAAAGTTAAGCGTTCGTGCGTGGGACTGAAAGTCGTGGGCTCAATCCTCGAGCATGGGGTCGTGGATGCGAACTGCTGTGGAGTTCCATACTAAGACGAAGCGTCCATCCAGTGCTTCTAGGTTTCCAATTATGGTATAGCTAAGACCCGATAATGACTTGAATTATGAAAATTCTACAATCTCCACAAATTTTGTATATTACTATTATTATTTTCACTTTAAATAACCACATAATAATTGTTACCTACTTCTTCAAAGGTAATTTAATGTTGCAAACGAAAAATGTGAAGTTAAAGAAATCAAAGCTTAATTTAAACATAATGTGATATTGGATTAACAATACCCAGTATCATGAACTAGGTGGAATCGGAAACTTAAATATTCCACAACATTTGATCATATGTACACTGTTAATTCACTCTACTGAGAAGTATCCCCGTTTAAATAATATCAGTTAATAAAGAAAAATACTATGTAGAAAAATAGAATTTTAGAGAGTAACATACATTTGGAGTTGGCTCATATGCCTTCTCCACTGCGTGTCATTTTGCTTCGCTCTCTTCTCTTCGCTTCATTCCCCGATTGCCTGTTCATGAAATATACATATTCAAAATCCATTCTCGTATTTGGCCTGTTTAATTCCGTTATTCACTAACGCGAGTTAAGTCGATGATCATATACGAGGATTGATGATATGTGTACATTAATAACAATGATTCATACTATATTATGGGAGTCAGATATCGGGCCACTAAAGTAGAGAGCCCGTCGACAACATCATGCGGCCTTACTGATATCAAAGGGAATGACCCCACTAAAATGTAACCAGAAAGTATTATTGCTACTTGTATTAGGTAGAGGAAAATAAAGAACTCATTTACTTACTTTAATTTGTTTTTCAGTTAATTTAAGTGTTGAAGCTATTTCAATTCTACGGGGTCGACATAAATATTGGCTATACCAAAATTCTTTTTCTAATTCTATCAGTTGTGTTTGCGTGTAAGCTGTTCGAGCTCTTTTAGATTTTTTATTCACAGTTTTACTATTATTACTACTATTACTGTTACTACTACTACATTCAATGTTATTTGAGGTGTTATTATTATTATTATTCTCATCACTATGATTATGATTTATTTTGTGCTTCTCTGTAATATCAGTGTGAAAATTCATCTCATTACTCGACTCATAATATTTATTAGACATATGATGTAATGGATAAGTTGAATGAATGGGATTATGCAAATGACGTTGATAGTGATCATACTGTGAAGTCAAATGATGATGACGATGATATTGGAATGATGTAAAATCATAAAGAGGAAATGTTTGATATTCATGTGATTGTGATGGTTTTGTACAATTTGTCCAGTCAGTAGATATGTTTCTATCATAACTATTAAAAATTGGTTTATTCATTTGTAAGTATTCAGAATTTTGATTAACAGTTAATTCTGAAGATGAATTCAACACAGATTCCTCCATTTGAAAGCAATAAAATTGATGTGTTTCTTCATTCTTTTTCATTTGATACTCTACATGATTTGTTTCATCCATAAATTCCGATAACGATGAAAAATGAATATTCTTTTTTGATTTTAAACAAATTGAATTTCTCAATGATGAATTGGAATCTATTAATAAAAATAATCGAGTGTCATAAAGATTATTATCATATTTAGCTACTTATTTAAAAGCTTTATTAGTTTTTTCCTCTAAATTCATGTTGTTTCTGGAAAAATCCCTTGAGATTACAATTGATTGATCACTGAGTGGTGATCAATGTCATGTGTGTCAAGTCCTTCTTAGTGCAGATCGAATGCCATCGACCACGGCCCGGATAGTCTAGTGGTAACATCTCTGACTGTGAAGCTGGGTGACACGGGATCAAATCCGTCAGGAAGCACCAGTTCCCTCAAGAATACAGGTACATCTTGCTGACAAGTGCCAAGTAGCACGAGACCCGGGTCAAGGGTTTCCTGTTGACTACCTCCAACCACCATCTAATCCCTTGGAATTAATATAATTCTCAGGAGACGTTAACCATATGATTATCCACCGCTTATTATTACTTGATTTAGGAGAAGTGAGAAATTTTTAAATTTTGATATAAAAAAAATGGACTTCTGAAGTGAACTGACTCGTAAATAAGAAAAACTGTCAACCATTAAACTTTAACAAATATTATTTATTATAACAAATCAACCTGAGATTAAGCGGTATTGTTCTAATTAGTATGCTTACTATGTTTGTTATCACTAAACTCAAGGTTCAGCATTAGATTCCCGATGATAAATATTCATGTGAAATTTCAAGATAAAAAAGATATAATTGTCTATTGTTCATCAGTACTCATTGAATTCCGTAACTTTTATCTGTTCTCAAAGAAAACCACACTATATCTGATCATGTCTTAGATTACAAACCAAGTGAGTTATGTTAGTACAAATAATTGGTGAAGATGATGATGTTGTAGGCTGCTATAATTTTTGCGTTTACACAAACTTTCCATCAACCTTAACTGCTAATCATTGTGTTCGTACCCACGGATGACTTGAACGTTCACTATGTCTGATGTACTACTTTTTACAATTAACGGATCACTTAATAGTGACTGATACCGTTTTTATGTAGTTTTTTAGTATTGATCGAATTCAATCGATCCAATTTTACAATGTAGACATCATTCAATGTGACTTATCATCAAACAGACTATATTTAGATGCTAAAGATTTGGATATAGTCAACAGGAAAATCTGGGCATAAGTTTCGGCCCAGTTTGGACCCTTCATTAATGCATACCTGTTGTCTCAAGAGAACTGGAGCTGCCTGGTGGAGTTCCTTAGCCTGGTGTCTGCATTGCAACTTAATCGTCAGAATTCGATCATTACTAAAAAAGACTAGACAAATGTGACATTGGTCACTACACAGAGATCAACGAATCATAAATGTCTTAGTCCTACATGAGGTCAGTTAAGGCCAAAATAACTTACTGGTAACGTCTCAGAATCTGAAGATGAGTGATACGGGATAGGACCTGTCAGAGAGCACCATTCCCCTCCAACAATACAGGTACATCTTATTGATAAGCCTCGAATAGGGTGGAATTTAGGTTTACAGTTTCCTACCGACTACCTCTCTCCATCTGATAGTACTTTTTTGCAATGAGTGTGGCTTATTTTGTAAATGATATTAAATTTTTGATCCTACTGTTTAGTCCTTTTTTGTGCATAAAATGAGAGCGAAGAAATGTACCGCTTCATAAGCAACACTAATTTCATTATACTAAAAATTCCTATATTGTGAACTAGAACAAAAGATATTTCAAAGTGTTAGTGATTTCCGATTCACTCTAAAATTATGATAAGATTATCTGTTTTCCAATTTCGGTGACTGGTTTGCGTTGTTCAAACTAAACACTGATAATTTTGTTCAAAATGATAATAATGGTCATACAGTTGGACTATTCATATCAGAAAATCCAATACCACCCATAAAGCAACAATATTTTATCTCAGTCTATTATTTACGTAATCAAATATTTCTCAATGATCATAGTATTCGTCTAAAGACATACGTAAATCAATGATTATCTGTATAGGGTCATGTAGATGGTTCATTCTCAATTGATATCATGAATGAATGAATGCTAGACCACCATTGAAAACCTAGAATCACTGGATGGTCATTTCTTTCTAGTATGGGACTCCTCAACAGTGCGCCTCTACGGTCCCGCACGCGGGACTCGAACTCAGGGCCTTCGGTCTCAAGAGAGAACGCTTATCCTTTGATTCAAAGAATAAATATCTATAATTACCAAAAGTCATCAAGATAATTATTATTAACATATTAACGTAGACTTGTATCATTCATGAAATAGTTAAACTTGATAGATGATACTTTCCGACTTACCTACAAAGTTATTTATTAAGTTTGTATCTGAAATGGTTGATTCTGTCATTTTGATCAACAACAATAATTTATTTTGTCATCTATCATAATGTACGTAAAATAAATTTTATATAATAAAAGTGATCTATTGTTATTGAATGGAAGAGTGAACAAATCTCCCAATCCCTTTTATTGAATTCTTATCCATTATGCATACAAACATATGTATGAATGAAGTCTACTGAATAATAGGTATTATGTTCAATTTCCCTTGTTTGTTTGTTCCTATCACAATTATTATCTAGTTTATTAAATAAAACTCGGAATATTCTTTTCCATTTTTGTTTGTTTGTATGTTACATTTACTTTTCTTTAAATTTCTTGTCTATTTCTCTCATTTATACAATATAAATAGGCATACACCACAGGATATAGATAGATAAACAGTTTTAAGATTTTATGTCTGTATGGTGAATTGATAGGGAAATTCTGTTCGTAAAGTAACATCTATTGGTTAATATGGTTTAGCGTGTAAATCCGTTGTTTATTTTCGTTACATCATAAATGAGAGAACATTAAATACAGTGAATATTCTTGTATTGGTTGTGGTTTATTCATGTTTTTATTCCATAAATTCAAGGTAGAAAAGTGAGTGCAGTGTTTATTAGTGCTTATTATTCAGAAGTTAAATGATTTATTAAATACAATATGATTAATAGCTCATAACGGATTGATAATGCATCCAAATGGATGGTTTATATAGAAATATTTCGTTAGGCAATTGATCAAGAACGTCTCTCGGTACCACAACTAGAAAAAAGAGTATGTTATACCTTAAAAGTGTTTACACTATAATATTTTCATACAATTTTGATTACTTTCGAAGAAAGACGGTATCAAGTTATTTAGATATGGGTTGGATACTATCATGCCCTTTCGTTGGAAGACAAATCTTAAATAAACCTATCTCACATCTATGAATACGTAGAACTTACCTGATGTAATAAAGTGAATATTTTCTTGCTTTCTGTGATATTCACTTAACCTAAACTTTATTTCTGTTTCTACTTCACTTACAACTATGAAGCACTATCTTATAAAATTAACCCTGAATACTTTCTAATATAACAGTTGATGGGACAGTATAAAAGAAGAATTAATTGTTTAACTTAATTCAAAATATTACAGCAAACACTCGATTTTTTTTTGTAAATATAAAATATAAGAACCAGTTGTAGAAAATGTAGAATCAACAAGATAATCCAATAAACAACAATGATAACTTTTTTTAAACCGATAAGTATGCAAGTTGTATCAAGATTGCATTTGTCAAATGAATCATAACAATGCTTTAAGATGTTCGTTTCCCTATTATTTTAACTACAAAAAAGTATTTTGTTAATCATGTAATCAAAAGGGGTTTTGTAAAGATTTTAGTAATTTCAACAGTTGAAATTATGAGTCAATTGAAGCTAGACCACCATGGATTGGTTGAAGTTAGACATTAACACCGTTGGATGCCTTTCAGCTCAGTGGTCTAATGGTTAAGAGACTGGTAGGTCGTAGATTCGAATCTCACGGGGGGTGGGGTCGTGGGTGTTCACTGCTGAGGAGTTCCATACTGGGACGAAACGGCCGTTGAAATCATGTTCTCATTTTTAAAAATATACCCCATACGCATTTATCAGCTGACAATTTTGAGGATCATAGTAATTTAATTTGCTGTTCAATACATAAGCATCATGGAATTATCATAATTTTCTGGTATAGAAGATTGTGAAAATCGTTGAATTTTGTGGTGTTGTAGTGTCTGGCACTATGTCAAGTCCATTTATTTATTCTTCTTGTGTCACCTTTTGACCTTGTCAATATTCGTTTATAACCCTGACTGTTTTTATCTGAATGTATGTGAGTGTATTGCTTACCCTATTCATCATATGTCTGTGGCTTATTTTTGTTTGACTATAAATATTGAGTCACGCTTGATTAAATGAACTCTGCACACTCGCCTTCTCCTATCAGCTAGTTTACGCCTAACCCTGCAAGCAAACTGGAAAACCAAAATCAAGCAAACACTCAAAGAACTTTAGTTCATTTGAAAAAGACGAAACCTAGGTTCATCAAGAGTTACATTGATTGTTTAACCGTGCATAAAGTTAGGTTACTGAAAATATAACCAGTATACAGTTAAGAAAAACTATGTACTATATTCGTGATCTGGCTTATACCATTAGATCAACTATCCTTCCAAAACTACTTCTGTTATTTAGTTAAAGGTTCACAAACAATTGATCTTTTTGTAGCATTTCTAGTATATTTGGTAAAGCTGACCATAAAAACACATTTTATTTCTTTCATAAATACATACTAATGTGTACTGGTCGAAAGGTATATTTGTACATAGAATTTATAAAACCATCAAATAGTCATATTATTACAACTAATCCATTAAAGCGATTTCTCGGGAAAAATGATCCTCAAGACTCTGTAGTTTTTATTTGATATGATAGGAGTTTAGAAATGAAAATTTTAATTTTACACCACAGAAGTTGTAAAAGTATATCTCCAGATCTACTCCGAACAATATTAGACAATCTGATGAGATCATTCATGTCTGCCTAATTTCATGGTCATAAAATTTTTGTACTGCATCCCATTTTTTAGTAGACATAAAAAAGTTTAGAAAATACAGGCTAATATTCAGACCAAAATCTTGACATGTCTACATTCAGATATCAAATTTTGGTAAATATTATGACCATATTTCCTGAATTAAGTTAGTTTATTGACTGACTGTCAAAATATCAAACATAAAATGTGAGCTATGAATAGATGGAATTAATCTAAGACCCTCGAGTTGCATTATTTTACAAGATTTTGAATATAACGTTTTGATACTTTAAGTGTCGTTTTGGTGGGAGGCCAATGTTCTTCCACGAGGGGTCACATGAGTAAGTAAGTAAGTCTCACGAAGCTACATCATGAGTTTGCAATGATAGACAATGATAGATATCCTTAGCTGTACTAATGAAAAATTAAAGAAATGAATGTCCCAAGCTTGATGTCCAGTGTTGTAGGTGCTCACTATTGAAAGATACCAGTTCTTCCTTTTTATCAATTGTTCCTTAAACAATGTTAACCAATGATAGGAACAATATGAAAAGAATTGCACTCTACTTCATTTTACAGGTATAAATCTGCCACATCAATAAAACTCAAATTATCTTTTACATAGATTGAAAAGTTGAAAAACTTACAAATCAGTTTGATAAAGAGATTAATAATAGAAGTACATGTGATCAAAGACATTATTCAAAATATCATTTCTCACATCTTGATAACCAAATGAGTTTTTAATAGTTTAATTTATTATTAAACAGAAAAATTAGAACTTAAAGGATGAAGAACACAAATTGTTTTTTCTGTATGATCTCATTAATAGGATCCAATATCCAGACAATTACATCAAGTTTACATCTATTTGAATTTTCCTTAAGAAAAAAAGAACAATTAACTACATAATGATGGTTTCCTAAAAATAATTAATTCGAATGGTTGACATCGTGAGTCAATTGAAGCTAGATCACCATAGTAAACCTGGAAGCACTGGACGGCCGTTTCGTTCTATTCTAGGACTCCTCATCAGTGCTCATTCATGATTGCGCCTCATAATGTCAACCATTGAAATTACTATAATATCCACACAAAAAACCCTTCTGATATAATTTAAATTCATTATTCTAATTACCTATACGACTTTATATACTTTTAATATTGCACAAATGAACTTTATTTTCATTAAATTAATTATTCAATAATTTAGTCTGTTAAACAAAGCAAAAAAATTACTTATTCAAATTTCCCTCCATATTAATTTTGTGATTAAAAACAGTTTAATTTCACTTATGTTTAACATTGAATGATAAAGCGTTTTTTTTTAATTTCTTCTTTCCATTCTCTATTTTTCCCCTTTATGAGTTCGCACTTTTAATTTTTGTTTTTTTGTTGTTGTTTTTTATCATCTATTCGTGTATCAATACTTCATATTTTGAGATAATTTTGTTGTTATTATTGTTGTTGATGTAACCGAATATCTAATTCCATTCATATTTCTTGATTCTTTATTTTCTTTTTAGTACAACCAACAGAAAGGAAGTTCATTTAACAACAGTAATGACAATGGAGAGACATATTTGTTATTCATCATCACCCTCGTCGTCATTTTAATCATCATCATCATCATCACTGTCGTTATTACCGACGTTTTTAAAAAAAATTTTTTATTCAGTTCAATTTTTGCATATTTAATGAGTAAACATAACGTATTGAAATGAAAAAGAAAACCTTTAGATTAAGATATGTGTTCTAAGAGATATTCTATCATCTCTTCTCTTTTCTTTTATTGTTTTGTATGTCCGTAGACAACACATATACACACATATATATTGTATTCTATGATTGTTTTTCTTTACTTTATATCATGAACATAAATATTTCTTATTTATTCTTCGCTAATATTGTAAGTCTATTTTACATACTACTCATAATAATATTCCTTTATAAATAGTATTATCACTGTTGTTGTTTTAAACGATACAACTAATTTATCTTCTATGAAAAACAACGAAAAACAAAAATCTTTGAATTCAATGAGTGATTTGTTTCATCCAAAATATATTTAATAATTATGAATTAATTAAGAAATTGGTTGATAAAAAGAGAGAAAAAACACGTTGAGAATCGTAAAGTTCAAAACAAAACAAAAAAAGAAAGAAAAAAAACAAAAACAATAGAAGGATAATTACCAGGAAGGGATTTTGTGGATATTATTAGTAATTTAATAGTTGAATTCATGAGTTAATTGAAGCTAGACCATCATAGAAAATCTAGAAGTAACTAGACTGACATTTCATCTTAGTGTGGAACTCCTCAATAATGCGCATCCATGACCCCATTCCGTGAGATTTTTATTTTATAAAACCAGTATATGCTTTTTGTAAGAGAAACTTTTACATACCGTAGAAATATTGATGTGCAAGAAACATCTTGTTATTAGATAATATGTGAAAA